CTTCTCGACTTTCCGACTATTAGTAAATGTTTTCGATATTTTGAATATCCCATTTCTCGATTGCTCAATTGTTCGTGTTTCGGTGTCGTGACTTTTCGGTTTTTCGGTTTTCGTATTTTCGATTGTTTCTCGACTTTTCGATTTCTCGAATTTTTTAGTTTCCCCTATCTCAGTTTTAAATTTTTCGATTTTTTAATTTTCCAGTTTTTGGTGTTTCTAAATTTTCGATTTTTTGATCAATTGATTTTTCGTTTTGTGATTTTTCGACTTTTCCATTTCTGACTTTTCGGACTTCTCGACATTTCGAAATTTTGATCTTCCCATTTCTCGATTGCTCAATTTTTCGGCTTTTCGATTTTTCGATTTCTCGACCTTTTGACTATTAGATTTTTCGATTTTTGGATATTTTGATTTTCCCATTTCTCCATTCTCATATTTTCGGTTCTTCCTGGACTCTTCGATTTCTCGATTTTGCAATTTTTTGATATCTCGGTTTTCTTTTTTAATATTGGTATTCTTCAATTTTTCGATTTATCGATTGATAAATTTTTGGAAATCGAATTTTGGGATTTTTCAGTTACCATGATTTTTCAATTTTTTATTATAATTATAATTTCTCATTTTTTGATTTTTCGGTTTTTGATGTTTCAATTTTTTGGTCTCTTTAATTTTAGATTTTTCGATTTCTCAATTTCTCGTATTTTGATTTTTCGGTTTTTCGATGTTCCAATTTTTTGGGTATTAAATTTTTCAATTTTGCAGTTTTATCACTTTTCGATTTTTTCGAATTATTCAGATTTCCATGGTCCGATTTTTTGATTTCTCGATTTTTCGATTTTTCGACTTAAAAACTAAAGAATGGAAAAACTGAAAATCGAAAAGTAAAAAAATTGAAAATTCGAACATCGAAACATCGAAGAGTAAAGAAATTGAAAAGTCTAAGAACTAAAGAATGGAAAAATTGAAAAATCGAGGATGTGAAAAATCGAAAAGAAAATAAATTAAAAATTCGAATATTGAAAAATCGAAAATTCAACGAATCAGGTCAGTCAGGTCAGGTCAAAATTAAAAAAATTCGAATATCGAAAAACCGAAAACTTAATAAATGTAAAAAACGAAAATTCGAAATTTCGAAAAATGAAAATTTGCAATATTGGAAGGCCGAAAAGTCGAAAAATCGAAATAATCGAGAAATTGAAACATCGAAAAATTGAAACGTCGAGAAATCGAAACATCAAAAGATCGAGAAATCGGAAAGTCGAAAATTCGAGGAATCGATAAACTGAAAACTCTAAAATTAAAATATCAAAAAAACTGAAAAATACAAAAACGAAAAAATTCCCAAAATAGAAATGCCGAAAAGTTGAGAAATCGAAGACTTGAAAAATCGAAAAATTTTAACATTGAAAAACCGAGAAGTCGAGAAATGGAAAATTTGAAAAATCGAAAAATGGAAATTAAAAAAAATTACAATATCGAGAAGTCAAAAAAACTGAAATTAAAAAAAAAAATGATTTAAATAATCGAAAAATTGAAGAATCAAAGAATTGAAAAATCGAAACATCAAAAAATTGGGAAATCGAAAAATCGAAAAGTCGAAAAATCGACAAGTCGAAAGATCGAAAAACCGAGAAAGTTCGAAACATCGAACAATTGGAAATTAAACCATCGAGAAACCATAACATCCAAAGTCGAATTCGGCAGAAGTTTTCAATTTTCGATACTTGAATTTTCAATGTTTCTGCTTTTCGATTTTTGGGAGTTTTTTATTTACGTCCCTGGTTTTTACTTTATATTATTCAACAGAACGGGATTTACTGGGCTTTACTTCTAGGACGAGGGAAGTTCTGTCCAAACAAATTTTTTTTTTTGAATTCATAATATAAAAGAAACAAGAATACTACAACAAGAACAAAAAATCAGAACTTATAAAAGGGAAAACTCAAGACGGATTCATAAACCACAAGTAGAGCAGTGTTATTTTATAAAATTTCGATAAGTCACTGTACATAATTTTGATCTGGGGCATTATCAAACTCTTGGTGGGAAGATTAAACAAATTTTGGTTAACGTTTTACACTCTCCACGATATTCCTAACATATACTTAGATACAAAATTTGACAGCAGTTTCAGAGAATATCTGTCTAACAAAAATCGATGTACAGATGACAGACAGACAAACAGACGGAAACGGGAGATTTATTTTTCATTCTCTTGACGCGATACCAACGTCGAGAAAACATGAAAGTAGCCATTTAGCCGATGGATCCTGTTATAAAACTTCCTTAGCTTTCGCTCGGGAAGTAAGAATGGTTCCACTTACAAACATTTGTATTAGTGGCATTAGAAGCTCCATTCTACATTGATTAGACTACTCTTGTCCATAAACTATCGTTTTTCTTGGAAACCATGCATTTTTCCTTTGTTAATTTATACTCACGCAAATTCTGTATGGGTTTTATGGGAGTACATCATGCTAACAGTGTTAATTCCTGGAACATTTTTCTAAATTATGAAAGTTTGTTCACATTTACATAAAACACGGTCCTGGACATCTCGTAAACGAACAGAAAGAAAGGGATTTACGGCACGGTTGGTAAATTCTCACGGTTAAACATAAATAAGTACTTGTTATTGTTTCACAGGTCATAAAACAGCTGCAGGATTTTCAAGATAATGTTAATAATAATAAGTGACTAATCATAACTGACAACCGGACGTGCAATTATTAATGTAATATGTCATGTGATCAAAATATTATAGAGAAGCTTATCATTTGGACACCTTAATATTTACAAGATGGTGTTTTTGATACCCTTTTGAAAGATAAATGAGTCAGAATTGTATGAAAAAAGTAGATTATCTTTGCCGAAAGCAGCATCTGTTTCCAGTAGGATCATAATAAGACATACATAGATACACAGAAAAAAAATAAAAGAGATGATACAGTAGTGTGTGAAAACACATTTGTGAAGTTAAAAATGGTTTTACTAAATAATATATTATTAACCAAGTCTGGGAACAATAAAATGGATGCGGTAACACCCAGTAGTTTTACGGCAAGTGGTACACACCCAGGAAATAACAGGAAAATCCGACGTGGATCTTGATAGATGAGTAATAGTTTTCTCTTCATAAAACTTACTTCCTAAATTTCCTTGTATAAAATATTTATTTTCAATAATTTTACCGTTGATTGTAAACAATTAGTGTTGACGGTATTTTATTAATGAATATTGAGCAACACATTGTTGCTATAATACTGTTACATTGAATGGCGTAATTGTTATTTACATTTTTAATGAGACATGGATAATTTTTCTGACAAATACATGTTTTTTTTGTTCCAGTAGATATTATTATGAGCGCTCGCCAGAAAGCTGCAAAAACCTGTACTTAATTTAATTAAATAATAATAATAATAATAAAAATAATAATACACCAGCAGTTCCTGTTTTACTATTGCAAAAGATATTCCAGCAAAAATATATGACCAGGATTAAGTTGTGCTGTTTTCAATAAAAATTATATATTAGTTGAAAGTTTCGTAACTCACTTAAAGATTTGGAAATCGCTGTTGGATATATGAGAGATTTTAATTGTTTGAACAGTCTTATTTTTAACAGTAAAACGGATGTCTCATGTAACCATCCATCCATCCTTACAGCGTAACAAATACAAAAACAAATCTCCCAGATAAATTCTTTTATTTTGTAAACTCTTGTCGCTTACTTAAACAATAGATAAACTAGAAGCTTATTTATCTATGAGGATTGATATCGAAAACTACAATTTTTTAACATCGCATGTTTGCGCACTGCTATCTTTCTTCAAGTTACCTGAGGTTAAAAGCCTTCGCCTGAAACACACAAGGAACCAATTCTTTTGTGTTACTTTACCTGATTCACAATATCTTATGCATGTCACTTTTTCAAGCGTAAACCTGTTATCCTCACCCAAGCAAAAACCTCAGTCACGTCATTCGCAAAAAACTCGAAATTATTTCACCAACTCGTTATCTTCAAAACAAATCATTTTTATAGCTTCCAAGTTGCTTCAACTCGTTCCTTAATGAATTAAAGATTTCGAATCAACTTAATCCATACCGGCGCTGAAAAACAAGTTCCCTCCATATAAAGCCTACATGCTGCACTCACTTTTTCCAAGATTCCTCAAGAAACCATAACAAAGAAACGAAAGCGGACGAATCCTCCGACTGACACTGCGACGTTCTCCTGTTCTTCATGCAAATGTATACTACAATACAACACAACAATGGGAACAGCGGAGTCTCATGAGTGAAGCCAAGGCGCGACTTACCTGGCCAGATTTTACACTGACGTTAGACTGTTGACCGGCCAACCGTGCGTTCTTTTGATTCACCAGAAGCTTATTTGCACCACGAGTTCAACCGATTCCAAGAACCCGAGTCTTCTGATAAACGGCTAAAAATAAACTAACACCGTTGGCCAGCATCTCTGGCGACAAATTCGCTGACGACGGGCCGGCGGATCTAATAATCTGGATAAGAATAGTGCTTTAGACCTTGTCGAGGAAATTACCGGCATTCAGGCAAGGCTGTAACCATTAGAACACACAAGTTTTAGCCCAGACTTTCATCGCCGAGCTCCACTAGATAACTGTATTACTATTACAACACGTTGTCCATGCTACTCTGATCTAACGCATGTCGAGCTTCACATTCTTGGTGTCTAAATGTATATTGTGTTTTACATATCAAATCTGCCGCTGTTCCTGTCGTCTAGTAAGTAAGGAATGTAACACTAGCTTAGTGCTCACCTGTAACTCTAAACAAAGACGAGTTCGCATATCCACATTCTTACCCTTCGTGAAAGTATCAGGGTAAATAAGACCGTGCGAGGGGTATTAGGCCCCATTCCAACCCCTATTTTCCATCAGGGCCAGGTGACAGCGCACTAAACATGTGGTCTATACAGCGCGGCTGACGGAATTCTCATACAACCGATACAACTTCGCATTTACACACTAGTTGCTGGCGCAACTTTGCCGAGAAAAGAACGAACGTACAGAGCCGTATTCGATAATTGGTGGTTCACGTGGAGTGTTTTATTTATTTGTTTATTTGTCCTGATCAGACGAACCTTTTCTGTTTGTGTTTGAGGCGTTTGGATTATTTTTTGAAGGGGAAGAAGGATCGCGTTGTTTTCTGGTAAGTCGGTCTTGTTGTTACGGTTTGTTATTATGACATTTTGGACTTATTTGGGAATCGATAAATATTAACGACCCGTGTGATTGATAGTAGTAATACGATTGTGTAGTTGATTACGGTGTACGTCGTAAAAGCGTTTCCATTATGTAGAGGTATTGTTGATGGTTTTATTACTGTTTATAAATCGAAAAGATTATATTTTTTCGCAGAAGCGGAATTTTTTAAAATATGCTACATTATTATTAATTTATAGTCGGTAATTGTTTGTCACGTTGGTAGGAAAATTAGATCACATTATCATGAATTATTTATACATATAAATGGATTTAAACATGTACATGAACTATGCGATTGTGACTCATAGGTTACGCCTTTTTTATAAATGATTAAAAGCATTACTTAGTAAGACGGTGAGCAACAATATACGTATAAAGTTAAATGTGAAAGTTTTACCACAAGTTTATCGGGATTCCACCCACACTTTGGATGAGCATTTTGCTAATCCAATGACATAACACACAAGGTACTCGCAAACAATGTTAGAATTTTTTTTAATATATATACCACCTACAGAAGCCCGTTTTAACGGTTTCGCAGAAAATGCAAAATTAATCGACACACATTTTTATTGAATGGCGTAAGCTCTGATTTTGTTTAGTTTAATTGCTTTTAAATTTTCAATTAAAAATCCGTTTCGTTAATGGATCCCTGAATAATGTTTTTTTAATCAAAACAAAATTATATGGTGTGTTGTGGCATGAGAGCTGGCGATTGATTGAACTCTTTTAAAACGGCGAAAATTTAAACTGAGTCGTTAGAGCGCATGTTTGGTTTTGCCAAAACTGACCTATTTAAACCAGGTTTACCGCTAACCAAACGAACTAACGTTTTTTCCAGTTTAGTGAAAATCGCACAATTTTTTAGAAAATTGTAATTAGAAGCTTCCACATCAAGACAGAAAGTTGTGATGGTAATTATCCAGGTACATGTTTCGTCATAATTTGTTAATATACAATAATATCTATTAGCCAATGGAGCACAGTTGATCATGTGTTGTTCGTACAAGGTCAAAATAAATCTGTTATATGTGTAGTTTTCTAACATGCAGATGGTAAATCTGTTAGATCTTGTGTGGGCTTTGAACAATAAGAGCCATAAAGTTTAAAATGAATTTAATTTCCCATTGTCTAAATTTAAACATTAAATAACTTAAATAAATATATATTTTATTGTTTTGTATCGTTTTTTGGCCGTAACAGATAGCGCCGTTTTAGGTAAAATAATGAAGAAACAAATTAAAAGGGTTAAAGTTCCACTATATTGATTTTGAGCATAATTTATATAATCTTTCCAGTTATATACAATTTCTTTTTACTAATAAAATATCAAGAATTCTAATTCTATCAACTAAACAAAATAATCGATAGAAAAATTGTTGTTTTACAAAAGTTCGATAGCTGGATGCACGAAATAGAAAAATTATAATTTCGAAAAAAATATGCATGTGATACATAAGTGAAAACTTCTTTCCATTAGTTTTTAAAGAACAATTTATTAGTGTCGACCTGAAACCCCATTACCATCACCCATACTCCGCCACTGCTTTTGATTCGAACGCACTCCACCGATGATAGAAAACGGATACTCGATTAGCAGTTTTGCTCCAAAACTATGAATGCGTTTATGAGTTCCTAGTGAGTTTTTCTGTTGAAAAATGTTCCGATCAACATTTCGAGAAGTACACGTATGTCAATTCGGACACGTGCAAAAGTTAGAGACCTTTCATCTGCAAAACAGTGATCTGTAAGTCAGGCTTCCGTAGCTACTGACTGAAGAACAAAATTTAAACAACAAAATTTATTATACTTAATAATGAACAAAATAAAACCGATTCATAAAGCACAACATGAAAGTGGCAAAAGGATGGACCCTATTACAACATTTCCTTAGTTTACCCTCAAGAAGTAAAAATGCTCTCTGCCTGTTGTTTTTTATAACATCACCACAAGTTCGATCAAATTATAATAACTGAATAAATTACAAAAAAAATGTATTAAGATTAAATTATTATTACATGTTGCTGCTAAAACAGTTTATATTATAAGCCACCAGATTAAGATCAAGAAATTTGTCTAAAGTTATTTATATCGTGAAAACCTATTTTTCTTATTCTACGAGCTGTGAAATGCCAAAAAATTAGACACTGAATAAATAGTCTTACACAGTAGTTCTAGTTTATCCAGAAGGCACAAATCTACAAAATTATTTGTAAATAACACGTGAATTGTAAAATGTGCTGATGCTAAACAAAATTTTTAATACAATTATGTCTAATAATTCTTTGAAATTTTGCATAATGTTTTAAAATTATGATAAGCATAATAAATTTTTAATCAAAATATATTTGCTTATCCCCTCCAAAAAATTGGTGAGGTCATCTCAAAATTTTTCTGAATAAATCGTCCCTTAAATGTGCTTGTGCATTAACTTTTTAGTCAAAATGTACAAATTTCGACCAATTTTTGGGTTTATCGATTGATCAATATTTAAATTTTTGGGTTTTGTGATTTTTCAGTTTTTCGATTATTAAATGTCTCGATTTTTCCAATTTTTCATTTCTCGATTATTTTAGTTGTCGATTTCTCTATTTTCCGATATTTCAGTTCTACGATTTTTCGATTCTTCAATTTCTCGATTTTAAAATTTTCCGATTGTCTAATATTCCAGTGTTTGGTATTTCTAAATTTTCCATCAATCGATTTTTCGATATTTTGATTTTTAGACTTTTCGATTCCTCGATTTTTCGACTTCTCGACTTTTCCACTATCAGTAAATGTTTTCAATATTTTGAATGTCCCATTTCTCTATTGCTCAATTGTTCGTGTTTCGGTGTCTCGACTTTTCAGTTTTTCGATTTTCGTATTTTCGATTGTTTCTCGACTTTTCGATTTCTCGATTTTTTATTTTCCCCTATCTCAGTTTTTCGATGTCCCAGTTTTGAGATTTTTCATTTTCTATTCTTCAATTTTTCTTTGATTTTAAAATTTTTCGTTATTCGAGTTTATTCGGAGTTTTTAATTTTCGAATCTTGAATTTTTCGATTTTTAATATTCCAGTTTTTGGTGTTCCTAAATTTTCGATTTTTCGATCGATTTTGTGATTTTTCGACTTTTCCGACTTCTCGACTTTTCGATATTTTGATCTTCCCATTCCTGGATTGCTCAATTTTTCGGCTTTTTGATTTTTCGACTTCTCGACCTTTTGACTATTAGATTTTTCGATTTTTGGATATTTTGATTTTCCCATTTTTCCATTGCTCAAGTTTTGATGTTTCATCGTCTCGGCTTTTCAATTTCGCGATTTCTCGGTTTTTACATTTTCACATTTTCGATTCTTCCTGGACTCGTGGATTTCTCGATTTTGCAATTTTTCGATATCTCGGTTTTTCTTTTTCAATTTTGGGATTTTTCAGTTTTTCGATTTATCGATTGATCAATTTTTCGACATCGAATTTTGGGATTTTTCATTTATCCAGTTTTTGATTTTTCGATTTTTAGATTTTTGACTTTTTCAATTTTCGACTAAAAACTAAAGAACGGGAAAAATTAAAAATTGAAAAGTAAAAAAAATTGAAAATTCAAACATCGAAAAACCGAAAAGCAAACAAATTGAAAAGTCTAAGAACTGAAGAATGGAAAAATTGAAAAATCGAGAATGTGAAAATTCGGAAGTTTGAAAAGTCGAAAAATCGAAAAGGAAATAAATCGAAAATTCGAATATTAAAAAATCGAAAATTCAACGAATCAAGTCAGTCAGGTCAGGTCGAAATTAAAAAAATTCGAATATCAAAAGACCGAAAACTTGATAAATGGAAAAATCGAACATTCGCAATTTCGAAAAATGAAAATTTGCAATGTCGAAAGGCCGAAAAGAAAATTCGAAAAATCGAAAAATGGCAACTTAAAAAAATTAAAAAATCGAGAGATCTGCAATTAAAAAAAAAATAATTAACTAATCGAAAAATTGAAGAATCAAAGAATTGAAAAATCTAGAAATTGAAAAATCGAAACATGAAAAAAATTGAAAATTGAAAAATCGAGAAGTCTAAAAATCAAAAAGCGCGAAAATTCGAAAAACCGAAGAATTGGATATTAAACCATCGAGAAATCGTAACATTTAAAGATCCAGAAAAAATCAGATTAAGATCAAGAAATTTGTCTAAAGTTATTTATATCGAACTCCCTATGTCCCTGAAGAGCAAACAAATCCAGTTTTTTTTTACCTCCTGAGCGTAAGCTAAGAAGTTTTATAATAGAGTCCAACCGACGAATCACCGCGTTCAGGGTTTCTGGACGTTTTATGACTGTCTGCCTGTCTGTCTCTCTGTCGTCCGTGTAAATTTTTATTAGACAATTTCCGAAACTACTGGATCAATTGTTGTCAAATTTTATATGTATGCTAGAAATATCGTGTAGATGGTAAAGCATTAATAAAAAATTGTCTAATTATCCCGACCAGTAATAGGATAACGAGTTTTTACCCTATATATCTAGATTTTGTGGAAAAATAAAAATTGACATTTTACAATTTATCTTCGAAATTTCAACGTTCTGAAATGATGACGTCTTCTTACAGTGTTGTCGCATAATGTTGCCTAAATTTTATTAAATAACATACATGTCTAATTTATGAATCCGTGTTGAGGTATTATACATGCAGATTTTTTGAAAAAAAAAAAACAAACAAGTGTATAAAACATTTTACAATTTAACTTCGAAATTGCAAAACTGAATGCTCCGAAATCTTGCAAACATGTTATGCGGTTTTCTTAAGCATGGTGCATTCGTAATCAAAATTGATCTGTTTACTCCCTTCCAAAAAAAAAATGATGACGTCATCTCAAAATTTTGCTGAATAAATCCTATCAAAAATGCCAGAAATATTGTGACCCTTTACTTGTGGCTTATCAATGAATTCGTAGGTGTGTATAGTACTTGTTA